ACAACCACAACCACAACCACAACCACAACCACAACCACAACCACAACCACAACAACAGCAGCAACAACAACAACAACCACAACCACAACCACAACCACGACAACAACAACAGCAGCAACAACAACCACAGCCACAACCACAACCACAGCCACAACCACGATGACGACGACAACAACAACAACAGCGACGACGACGACAACAACCACAACAACAACAATAATATTAATCCCTCCTTCCACGTTTGTGACAATTGATTGATGACAATCCCTTCTTCCGCTGTCGGGCGTAAGCCCTTAAATCCGCGTGTTCTCCCGAAGTGTTCTCTCCGTAGGAGAGAGGGGCTCCACCGAGCTAAACAAATTGCGCTCTCGCCTGCTTTTCGAGCCATTTTTTGACTCTGGAGATTCCAAAAACTGGTTGGGGAGAACCAAGCAAGAAATACAAAGGCAACGGACAGCCGCAAAAAAGACACAAAAAAAAAGCAGAAACTGAACACGACAGCGAACACGCGCCCAACCGGCATCGCCGGTCTGCGAAGCTCTACAATTATGTTTAAATTGGGGACCCTTACAAAACATTTATAAGTGGGGATCAGGGGCCTTCCTGGTCTACTACCGTGAAAATTTGTTTAGGAGCAATCTTGACATAAAGGATTGATTAAGGAATTGATAGACCTATAATTGCGCTGAGAGCCCTATAATTGTGCTTTGGGAAGCTGAGATACCTATAATTATCAATAATCTCAGCAAGCCAGTCATCGAGGCTTCCTCTTTTGGCTTCCTCTTCTGGCAACAATTGCCACGCACAAACGTCGAGCGTCATATCAACCATTCAGTGTTTCCGTGAACCGGAGTGTATTGGTTGTATTCGTGTCGGGTTCTTCAAGCTTCCTCAAATCACAAACCACTATTCACTTCGTGTGCATTCACTGTGACCACGGCTTCGGCCACGAGCTGCCACCACTGTCCCAAGGCTGCTGGGGAACAGCCTTGTAGTCACACCAGCTGTGAGAAGAAAGAAAGAACTCTTCACAAAAGTAAAATACTGTCAACTCACAATTCTACCTCTTACAATACGTTTTGCCATGTCCTTGAGGCCTGAGCATTTGAAAGTCGTTCTCTCCATTCTTGTGGATTCAACACGGCCTGGTGATTGAAGAAACATCCGCCTGGATTTCCCTTAGGTAAAATCGGAAGTTGCACTCAATTAGAGTTAGAGCTCCCTGTTTGTCAGTTTGTGTCTGTCTTCCTGCTGTGAAAATGCTGCAGTTTGACCCAAACCTTGGTCAAAAGTGTGGAAATTGTGGTTGGCTTCCACTCAGGTCTGGAAAACTCCTCATTGAGCCTCACCACGAGACAGGAAGTTTATTCCAGAGAATCTGCAACAGAAAGTGCTGGCCATTCCAGCAGAAGTTCACAGCAATAGGCTTCTGGCAAGCTTTGTAAACCACGGAAGGACAGAAACCTGCGCAGCGTGCAGAAACCATCAAAGGGTTATGGGCTATAAATTCTTATTCTCAACGTTGGTTTTTCTTGCTTTGTTGACTATTGCCCTTACTAGGTTCAATTGAGGCGACTATCCCCCTTCCTTGGGCGTCCTTCAAAGGAAGGCCTTTCAACTTCGCAAAGGTTTCTTCAGGCAAGTAACAATAACACAACAAATCTTCAAAACACGATGACAAATAGTGCAAAAACTGAAGCGAATGAATAGCCACGTAGTCTAATTCAAAAAGAGCCAGGAAGGCAAATGATTGCAAGGTTTCGGATTTTGCAACTGAGATATCACATGATATCACAAGGCGTGCCCCTCAAAAGACCCAAAGATGAAAGGAAAGGTTTGTCTTTGAGTCTAAACATCCCAGGAATCAAAGGTCTTCAACCTGGCAGGCTGCGTGAGTTAGCCACGGACTGGAGAAGCGTCAACTAAACCGAGAAGCAAAGCGGCTAAATATATAACGAAAATGATCAGATCATCTACAGATTGAGACAACAAAGAGACTTCAACAAGAATCTGAAAACTTGAGTGATCTGTCTAGAGTGGCGAAGTGCTACATAAGAAGCAGATATCTTTGAACGCTGCTCGCCAATGTGAAAATTCACAAAAACGAGCTCGAGAAACATATCCAAGTAAAAAGAATTGCTTTCAAATTCGAAGGCCTCAACGGCCTCGTTGCAGTGGTCTTAAGAGGCTCTGTGAATTCTTCTCGTACAAAACCTTTCTCTGCTTGCTTTGGTACACATGCTTAAAGTTAGATACTGACGCCATCAAAAGGAAAACTGATCTTGAAACAGCCCTGCTCCGCGAATGCAATTAAATTCGGCCTTCCCTGTTGCGAGGAGCAAAACACGGTCATGCCCTTGCTGGCTGATTTTGTGCTTGTTTTACTTTGACAAAGCCGGTAACCTTTGTGGAGTATTGCACTTTACGCAACGTGGTAATCTGAACACCGTAGCTTCGATGGGCTAGCTATGCTGTGCAAGCTCAGCACAAGATTTGCAGGTTCTGCTGTCCCAAGTTGTTCCTGTGCGAACTCTGGCTGAACGAACGCAAGTCAGCCTCTGTGGAACTCCGCTTTTCGGGTTACAGTCACAACATGACCACCCACACCGATGTGGACATTTGACATATCATCCTCGTCATCACCCTCGCCATCACACATCAACAGCACCATACTTCCATCCAAGAGATTTAACAAATGCAATCCGCTACAAGGCAACAAGCCGGATAAATCATGCAAAAAACGGCAGAATTGTTTTTGAAGACAAGCGAAGCTCAAAAGAAAGAACTAAAAGAAACAAGTCGACGGACGAAGCCGATGGGCCACACGACTTGAATTCGCCTTTTTGGGAAACTGTCGCTCCAGCTGTTGGTTTATAGCTGTTTGCACTCGCTTTGTTTGCTTTGTTTCTCAACCGCAGATTGCAAGGTCAGCTGAAAGCGAAAACCCATCAGGGGCACATTCTTAACATGTTCCGCTAGGCGCTAGTTGCTCTGACTTTTTTGACTGCAAAGCAAGCTGTTAAGCTCAAATACGTCTGCCCGCAGAATCGCAAACAAAGCATGGTGCTTGCATGTCTTCAAACCAGGGCTAACCTAATCCTTTGTAGTTCCGGCAGGGAAAATAACCCAAGGAATTTCAACACACCTCTTAGACTGCGAGTTTTCTGCATTTGCATGGCCAAGGATAGAAGTACAGTAGCAGCGCACAATTACACCATGCCCACAAGCCTGTTCTCTCGCTGCAAGCACAACTTATATAAATCTATTTGGACAGTGTTTTAAGGAATAGAGCACTTGATGGGTTGGGACATCAAGGTGCGCAAGCATTGAGTTTTTGGCTAAGGACATTGAAACCAAGAAGTTTGGATAAATGTTGAACAACTCGTGCACGTCAGGCTGCCGGAGTTTTTCAGGCCTGATTCATTCCACGTGTTCAAGGCAATCCTGAATCTTAAAGCATTGCAAGTTCACCATCCTGCAAGACTGCTAATGCAGGATTCAAGATCTCAGATGCCTGTTGCTGAAAATATCGATGTTTTGAATATCTCAAATTTTCAAGGACCTTAAAGTTCACATAACTTCACCATATTTGGCATTTTGCATAAACACCGTTTTGTCAGGTGTCATTTCTTGGCGCTATAGGTAAGACACGCCCGCAACAAAAAGGTTTGTATATATATATATACACTATCATATATAGATCTCTTGCAGCTTTTATCATCAGCTGCAACTAACCCTTTTTTTCAAGGACTCCTAGGATAAAACTCCAACAAGTAACTGTTTGAGGAATTTTACGCAACACCAACCCAGGCAGCCTTGCTGGTTGGGAAGTAGTTTCCAAGCATCCCCCCAGTTCTTCTTTTGTTTGTAAAAACCGTTTGATTTGATTTTTTTGCTCTAGCTGACTCTCAACAATGCTGATCAAGGGCCCCACCAGCGGCCAGCTGTTCTTCCCATTGCGCGCCTTTTACATAAGATTCACAAAGGCCGTAAGCATTGCGACTTCATTACAAACTGAATTCTGTGCTCATCTGTCAAGCTGAAGCTGAAAAGCTCTGGGACTTGCAGTCTGAGGCTAAAGCACTGAGAAGCTCTCCACACCAGGAGCCTGGCCAATATCTCAAAATACAATGCACCATGCAATGCTCCACGCACCCCTCACCATCTGCCTGCGCTACCAGTCGTGGCAAGTCACGCCGTTCTGTGCCCTTCTCTGAGTGGAAAGTAAACCTAGAATAGGGAAAGGACTATCTACAGCCAGTTTCAAGTGTTGTATGGCCAAAACACGAAATCACCGGTGCAACAGACTGTTGAGATCTGAGCGATGTCAAAGGTGGAGAGAAGACTTGGATCTCAGAGACTTGACGGTTTCTACGGTGCAAATAAAAAAA